ATGAATTTTTTTCCCAGTGTTTTAAGTTTTCTTTTAATTTGGATTGCTGAAAACCCTGAAACTAATTTTTATCCATTTTGTTTTCATATCATGGCTTTGTTTTTGATTGCGTGGGTAAATATTTTTCATATTTTGTTTTCTTTAAATTTGTTGAAAAGTGACTTAAGTCAAAAAGTAAAATAAAGCTATGTTTCTTTAGCCTTTGAACATTGTAATCCTCAATTTTTACATACCTTCACTGTCTATTTTGGGAAAAAATTGTTTGCTTTTGTAATTTATGTTTCTGTGCCTCTGTTTTTCTCTTCTGATACTGTCCTTGATTGTTCTAGTTTAAAATGGAGTAATTGTTCGGATAGTTAATACGTTAATTGTGTAAATTGTAAGGGAACAGGATGAGCTGCTTATTAGGAGGTCATATACAAGTGAAAGAATGGTTGCAATGGAAAATGAACTGTGGTTATGAGACAAAAGAATGATTTTGAACTGCTTGGTTCAATCCATTGTTGGATAAATTGTGAGGAAGGAACATAGCTTCAGTTTAGCAGTGTAATAGTAGGAAGTCACAAAGAACACAGTGCTATCGTGGCTGTCTACCCTTTTCCCCTAGGTGCAGAGTTAGCTGACAATTAAGCTTTAGTTTGGGAAAGAAAAAAAATCAAGGTAATTAAACTAGAGAAGGATGAGGAGATAGAAGTATAACTGAATGAAGTTTTCTATACTGGTGCCGGCCAAATAGCTCAGCAGATTAAAGCACCAGCAAGCAGGCCCAGGATTCTATCCCTGGGCCTGCTATGCTGGCCCTGCCCCCCCGGGGCGCTCTGAGACAGCAATTGAGACTGGGCGAGGTGGCGCATCCCTGTAATCCCTGCTCTTGAGAGGCTGTAAACAGGTGGATCACTACGAGTCCAGTCTAGTAGTGAGACCATGTAGACCCTTCCCTAAAATACAAAAAAAAAAAAAAAAAAAAAAGTTTCAGTCCTGAACCCTAGAAATGTAGAAAAAAGTGATCACTGAATATTTATTCAAGAAAATGTAAAAAAAAAGTTTCAGTCCTGAACCCAAGCACTGAAATGTTAAAAAAAAAAGTGATCACTGAATATTTATTCAAGAAAATGTAGAAATAGAAAAAAAGCTTAAATAATATAAAGATGAACATATTCCTACAAGCAGAAAAGTTCTCTAAATTCAATGGAATTACCTGAAGATTTCAGAGTGCCTGGCTTAATATCTAAGCTGGTGGTTCTATAGGGAGCTGGAGTCATTGTAGTTTGAGATTTCATGATGTGTTTAATAACTGTATGCCAGTATTTTCATATTTAGTGTAGTGAAATGCTTGCTTTATGAAATTGCAGTTAAGATTCTTGACTCAAAATAGCCCTAAAGAATGTCAGCTGATTAATATCAGTCTGAAGGTATAAATGCAAGATTTTTAATCCTCTTACGTCTAAATGAATAGTTGTGGAGATAAGGACTGGTGAAGGTTTGTCTTAATACCTGCAGCAAAATATTAGCAGTGTATTGTGCTTGCCCAGGATGTAAAGGTATTTTTACACCACACAGAAGGTAGAAAGTTGGAAGTAGACAGCCTTAGTCTACATTCTCACCCACTGTCATGGAATGTTATTTGAGTTTTACACTTTTCTAGGGACTTAGACAAATTAGAGTGTGGCTGTATGAGTAGGAAGGTATAAAAACTTGTGTATAATTTAAAAGACTCTTAAATTATATGATAGATCTTTCCAGGTTGTTGCATGGAGCCAGTGGATGAAATTTTAGTATTAGAGATTATTAGTAAATAAAATGAATATGTAACACTTAAGAATTTCAGAAATACTAAAACAAATTGCTTAGATGCAAGATAATGTGCATAATTAACACACCCAATTTGAGAATTACAGTATGAAAAATTCTGTACTGATAATTGTGAACTTACGTATCTCTGAACCACTGTTGCAAGTTCATAAAGGCTATATAGAAGTATAATGTGTGATACAACAAAAATAGTAAGAGAACACTCCATTGTTTGATAACTTGATTGCCTGTGAGCCCACAACTTGGAAGAGGATGACAGCATTCCCAAAATGTATTTGTCTTATAGTTGTGATATTATATTAACATGGTAGGATAATATTAACAGAAGCTGATTGCTAGAACTTAGGTAATAGAAACTGTTGAACCTGAAGTTATGGGGGACAATCATAAGTGAGGTTCTTGCATACTAACATTGGAAAGTGCTGAGTTTGAATCATTCAGTAAGTGAGTTTTAATTATATAGGATATGGACAGAAAGATTAAATAATAGACTTGTCTAAAATCAGTTACTGATAGACCTGGAACCAGACCTCTGAGGAAGTATTGTAGCATACTAGAAATTGCTAGTGATTTCCTTGCTAGAAAGGTGCTGTTCATAAAGGTAGAGGTACTCAGTGGGTTAAAATAAATATGAACTAGGTTAGCAAATTCCTTGAGAATTACTATTATTTTTTCCTTCCATTGGGTACTATTGTGTACATAATTTGTGAGCTGTTACTAATTTGTTTGATGTTACCTGACAAACTGAAAACATTTGGTAGAAACATTTCTCGAATCTCCCATATTGGACAAAGGTGCCTGAGAGCTGAAATCATGACTTACTTAGCACCAATCCTCCAGAATCTAGCCCATTTCTGTCCTTTACCCAGCAATCTCTAAAGCCCACCAATACTATCTGCTGTGTTCCAAGAGCAATTATTGCAACTGTGGACAAAGAGGGTTACAGAAGCCCATAGAAATTTTAGTTATAAGATGAATACATAAATACAGGTTAAGTGGTAATTGTATTCTATCAATTAACTGGATGTATGTATTATATAAATATATTACATATTGTATTTGTATTATATTAGTTTTATACATTCATATTTTACATGTCATTTGAATTTTTATCATTTATAATTCATTTTATTTTTCTGAGTTTGGCAAATTCGTTTATCAAGGATCATGTCATCTTGATCTGCTTAACTTTACTGTGATTTCTTATAATAATAAATTGTTAAATACTGTATTATTCTTGCTGTTCTTCATATAAATTCCATTTTCCTAATGCAGTTTTCTCCATATGCTAATGGATTTTATTTTTTTGTATTTATAAATAAATTTAATCTGTTCATTATAAACCATTATTGCCCATCTTTATACTCTGCTGTGTTAATTTCATAACAAGAATCAGAGTTTCTAAAGAAATTTAACTGATAATACCAAAAATGCTTGATCTGGACTAAAAGATGCATGTGTAATTTTAATTGTATTTTTCTAATATCCTTTGGTTAAGCTACATATTAGTTGGATATGAGGATTATTAGGGAAGATTTCAAAATAAAGAAGAATAAAACAAACTTTAAAAAGAATGAAATCCTAGATTTTCTGTGTCAGTTTTTATGGGCTAGACATTTAATAGCCTTTGATGAGCAAATTATTATTTAATAAATAAAAAGTAATAAAAAGAATGTTGCTGTCAGTAAAGCAGAGAATGTACAAGTTTAAGATTTTATACTTGGTTAGGACTAGGGAGATTGCTCAGTTTTCTAAGTTCCTAGTTGGCAAGTGTAAGCACCCGGGTTTGATCCCCAATACTGAAAAACAAAGAAGATTTTGGTCTTTGATGAAGCCTTTTTTTCTGTGTTGAGTGTTATTTAACTGAAGCTCATTTAAATAGGAAAATTAAACTATATTCATATTTGATAGTTCCTTAATATTAACAACTTGAAATTCCACTTTAGAAGAGATAAATATACTTTAAAAAGATTTTTTAATTAAAAAAATATGTGAATGCAAGCCTTTTTCCGAAGAAGGACAAATCTGTAGGATGAAGATAAGTTAGATAGGCATCCAGCTAATCAATCATAAGACAGTAATGACAACTCTTACTAGACAGTATGATCCAGTGGGAGACCATCCTCAAATATATCGAAGCTTAGTAATTCTTGAAGGCTTAATTCATGTTCCTTATAGGACTTGAGTCATTAAAATTCTTCCTTTTAAAAGAAGTATATATATGGTCATTGCTCTTAGGTGTCTGTACTTTCATATATTAGATTCATTAATCCAGTGCAATTTGATTTTCATTTCTTTCTCTTGAAACTACTTTGATGCTTAATAAATTTAATGGCCAAATCCAAGGTCCCATTTTCAGTTCTTTGTCTTATATTTCCGTAATAGTTGACACTACTGATCACCTTGGCTTCTCTGACTTCTCTTCTGCTTCTATGACTTCCCTTCTGTAGTTCTGTGTACCTCCATTCCTTGGTTTAGATCTTATTTTCCTTAACTTTTGAATATTGTTTTTTTTTTGGGACCATTCAGATCTTCCTTTGCCTTCCCTAATACCTTTTTTTTTTGTACTGGGGATCAAAGTTAGGACCTTTATGCTTGCCAGTCAGGTGCTTATGCTGCTGAGCTGTCTCTCCAGCAGTTCTGTATTTTTTACATTTATTTATTAAACTTCGATTGCAGTTGTTATTGCGACTTGTTGTCTGTTGGGTGTTTTGAATATTTTAAAGATAACTGAAGTGTCTACAAAGTGGACTAGTTTAAATTTCATTCAGATAGATTATTTCTGGAGTATAAAGGATCCTTTAGTGTACATTTTAACAGGTATTCTTATGGTAGGTGGCTAAGAGCTGTCACTTGGAATAACTGGCCTTATTTAAGTATGGAAAAACTAAGTAAAATAAATCCATGTTACAGTGTTTAAGAGTTCAATATCTGAAGTTGTGTTATTTGGTTGGTATAAATGTGATTTGTCATGGAAATTAAGGCTGCCATTCTGTTAAATGTGGACTTAATCCAGAAAAATAGGTCAATGATTTTATTCCTTGGGAATTTTTACACTCACTGTAGTTTTAACACTTATTAATGATCTTTTCCCCTGCCCTTTTTTTTTTTTTTTTAAATGTTTTTTCTTGGATTGACAAGAAAACATTTGTTTTGTCTAACACATTTAAAATTTTTACTTTCAACAGAAATTAGCAGAGTACGGAAAGACATGTACAATGACACATTAAATGGCAGTACAGAGAAAAGGAGTGCAGAATTGCCTGATGCTGTGGGACCTATTGTTCAGTTACAAGAAAAACTTTATGTGCCTGTAAAAGAATACCCAGATGTAAGTATATTTTGTTTATTCACCTTTGCTTTTCTGCTTCACAAACTATGTGAATAAATTTGATGGCAAATATTTAAGAGGTATTAGTTAGAATAAAGTTTACATGAGGAACTGAACATGTGGATAATTTGATATTGTGTAATTATTTTCCAACATGTATTTCCATTTGATGCTATTTTGTCTTTTTTTTTTTCGGTACTAAGGATTGAACTCTGGACCTTGCACTTTCCAGGGAAGCACTTATTCCACTGAGCTATCTCCTAGGCCTGTTTTGTCATTTTTGAAATGCTCATGGTAAAAACTTTTGGATTTTAAAATGAGGGCAGAAATTGTGGAAAGAACTTTGGCACGGATGTTAAAGAGCACAGTGTTCAACTCTGCTTGCCTTTATTCTGACTTCACAGATGCCACAGTTTGGGCCATATCATCCTTTCTTTAAAATAAGTTTGTTGGATTATAATTTTCTTTCAGCTTTAAAATTTCATAAAAATGCTATTTCTTATCTAATCCCCCATGTTAGCTCATTGCTCAACTATTCTCTATCAACATCTTGTTCTAAATACTCTTCCTTGTCCTATACAAGTTGATTGCTAAACAAATCTGAACTTTGCTTTTTGTTACAAAATCCTTTATGATGTGATGGTCCATTCTGTTTCTCTGACTTCATCGTAAGTAATTGTCCCTTTCTTTACAGTAGTACATTATTGTCATATTAGCCTTTTTTTGGCTTTTGAAACAAGTGAAATCTATTCCAAGCCTCAAAACCTTTTTCATTAGCTGTACCCTGATGTTTCCTCGGTAAGGAAAGATCTCATCCTTAAAAATTTAGTTGAAATGTCACTTCAGTGAGACATCCCTACTCATTTTATATAAAAGTCATCTAGTTACTCATTGTTACACAAAAGTCTTCCCCCCTCATAGCATTTATTATCTGGTATTTTTCCTATTTAGTTTTCTGTATCTCCCCAGAAGAACATAAGATACATAAAATTAAGAACATTGCCTTTATTATTTGATACTATAACCCCCTTAATATTGACACATAGTAGCCTTCCAGGACCTATTGAATACAAATGAAAATGGCCTCTTGTGAGGTTGTGGAGTTTTCTGATTATAAATGAAAGAAGAAATTGGTATGTTAAAAATGACGAGCCAGGTTTGTTAATGCATGACTGTAATCTCAGTAGTCAGGGTGTTGAAGTTGGAGGGTTGTTGCAAGTTTGAGGCCAGCCTGGGCTACATAATGAATTCAAGACCATCCTGAATTATACAACAAGACCCTGTCTCAGAAAAGAAAAGAAAAAAACAGATTACTTATCTGGACTAATCTGTAGATAAGGGGTACACATCTTAAGTTGGAATAATAGGAAAGAAACCTTTGGTGTTTGGTATTTTACATTTTCTCTTTCCAGTATGGCTGTCTGTAAAGCTTACATATTTGTTATATTTTTATATATTTTGGTTGCAAGTATAGAAGCAAATGAAGAGTTTGTTGGAATATAATTGGGCAATGCAAACATATTTTGGAGAGAAAAACTTCATGTAAGGCAAGAGCATGGGCTGGTTCTTTGCTTCTGTGAGAATTTAAGAAGCAAAACTTTATGGCCCTTGTTATAGACCCTTGCTGTCAACATATCTTGGTATCATTGAATGCCTCCTAGACTTTATTTTTCAGATACTTTTTAAAAATTTTATGTATTTGGTACAGGGTCTCACTATGCAGCTCAGACTCATAGTGTTTCTCTTGAATCAGCCTCCCCAGCACTGGGATTGCAAGCGTGTACAGGCTGCCTGGTCTTAGTGGCCGGCATGGCATGTGGTACCAGGGATCAAACCCATGTCATTGAGTGCTTGCCTAGGCAGATGCTTAGACTGCTGAGCTATCTCCACTGCCCAATTTTTCAGATTCTTAAAAAATATGCTTTGGTCCAGTATGCTATAAGTATGGAGGCAAGTAAGATTATCTGCCATAAAAGGTAAGGGACTGCTATAGTCTTACCATTGTTCTTGAAATTATTTTTAAAGATAGGAAATTGTAATTGGAGCAGCTGTCCCAGTTAGAATCTCTACTGGTTTTTCATTGTCTCCTACCCATGTGCTTGCTAGCAGTTGTCATTAACATGAACTGTGCAAAATCATGAAACTTTAATCGAATATAACCTAGATTTTTCTGGTTCCATCTCTTAAAAAAAAAAATCCTATACAGGCAAGGGTAATTTATTTTATTTAAAAAGTATATTTTACATTGTTCTAAATCAGGCTCTGAATCCAGAGACTACCCTCCCATCCTGTTTCTTTTTCTTCCTTTGCTACTTGTGACTTGCTAACTTGGTGATCAGTATTCCTGACAGTATTGTAGTGAAACTTTGTTCTCAAAGTTAATGTGTAAAAGTTAAACCCCTGTCCTATACTAAGTCAGAGACAATGGGCTGAGATTCCATCAGCCCCACTCTTCTGTGGGATTCTGCCCGCTACACTTCTTTGGTGTTAGGAATTGAACCTAGGGGTTTGCATATGCTAGGCAAATATGCTTAACTGAATTATACCCTTAGCCCTAACCTGTCCTTTTATATCCTAGTAGGTGATTCTGATATATGCTACAGTTTGAGAACTTCTACTGTAAATTTGCTTTTATTATCAGACTGAACTAGGTTAACATATAGGTCATGGGTAGCAAATCTGTGGCATGTGTTGTTCTTTTAAGAGAAAAGATGTTAATGTATGTGTTGTTTTTTCTAAACTAAACTTCAGTATTCAGGTTTAATTGTGGTGTTGGCATAAATAAGTGGGTTTTGAGTTGCAGTTTGCACACTCTATAAGATTTGCCATTACTGATCAAAAGTGATCGTGTAAATTACTGCTTTGCCAGGCATTGTTTCAAGAGGTGTATGGAGTGGTAAACTCAGTAATGCTCATGCTGTTGTGAAGTAGGCATTTCACAGGCAGAAGCAGACAGTGAGGAAATAAATACATATTTTTAGTTGTTAATTTTGATTGTGGAGAAACAGTGGTTTAAATGGATAGACAAGATAGTGAAGCTGGTATGTGCATGCTCAGTTTAAAGGGTTATCAAGAATAGAATCTCTTACAAAATGGTGAGAATGGAGAGACAACAATAGACTGATGGGGAAAATGGCATGAAAAGTATCTGTGGGAAAAACGTTCTGAGCAAAGTGGAAAGCAAAGTATGTGTTAAGATTTGAGATTAGAGAGTTAAGAGTGGGGCCTTATCTGTAGTTCCTATAGGTCAGTACAAATTTTATATATTCTGAATGAAAGAAGCCATTTGGATGTTTTTGAGCTTAGAATAACATGAACTCACTGAGTATTTGATGGATTCTTTCTGGCTCTGTGGAGATGCTAGGGCATTGGGAAAGTAGGAACACTAGAGGAATTAAATACTTGAATCCAGCCATGTGAAGTGACACAAAGCTGCTATCCCATCATTCTGATAAACTGAGACAAGAAAACCATGAGTTCAAGCCCAGCCTTTAAAATGTCTCAAAATGGAGAAAGAAATACAGCTTAGGGCAGAGGCCTTGGGTTTAGTCTCCAGGGTTGAGAGGATGGACATAAAATGTTTGAATTCTTCATAGATTTTCAAGCTAGAACTGAAGATTTGCTGATGGATGTGGGACATGAGAGTCAGAAGTGACTAAAGGTTTTGGTCAATGGGAACAGTACATTTATCAGTTTCCAAAACAGAAAATACAGAGGGAGAAACAGGGACCAGAAAGGGAGACTTCAGTAGTTCTGACTTGGAATTGTGAAGCTGGAAGGTAGACATTTAGGCGGGATGACAGACAGGCAGGTGGATTCCTTGATTTTAGGATGACCCTTTTTGACATTCTAAAATGTCCGTTTCAACAAAATGTTTTAAATTGTTTATTTATAATTTGTAGGAGTACGTATAAAATAATTTTAAATTTTTATAATAATTTTAAATTATTTTTAATAATTTATATTTTTAAATTAAAATACCCGGATTCTAATGCAGCATGCGGTACTGGGAGCAAACCTGGGTCCTTGATGCTTGCCAGGCAGGCACTTAGACTGAGCTGTCTCCCCAGCCCAACAGCCTAGATTTTGTATTCTGTCTTACCTTTTTTTTTCCTCCTGTCTCTTCCCCTCTACTCCCCTACCCTGTCCTCTCCTTTCTTTTTTGGATCTTTTTGAGACACGGTCTCACTGTGCAATTCAGTTAGGCTGACCTTAAGCTCATTTTGTAGCCCAGGGTGGTCTGTAACTTGGAATGATTCTCTTGCCTCTGCCTTCCAGTGCTGGGATTACAAGTGCCACCACACCCCTCCAAGCCCTTAACTTCCTTATTGTCTGAACTTATCAATAGTTGCCACAGTAATGCTCTATAATGAATACCTACAACTTAGTGGCTTAATATAGTAACCTTTCATTTCTTTAATCATGGGTGTGTATGTTTACTGAGGTTCTGTTGGTAGAGGATGAGCTTAGGTTGATCTGGTTGGTTTAGATCTTTTTCCATTATTCCTGCTGAACTGAGCTGAAGGGACAGTTGCTACGTTAGACATTGTCTTTCATAGAAAATAGCTCAGACTGCCAAAGCCAAGGCAAATTGAATAAAATTATGTATGGCCTCTGCTCTTGTTCATTAGCCTAATGATTTTCAGCTAGGAGCTTTTTTGCCTCACAAAAGTGACAGTATGTAAAGATCCTCTTTGCTGACAAAATTTGAGTAGGGGTATGCACTACTGGTAGGTAGTAGATGATTATAAATAGCCTAAAATGAAAAAGTCAGCCTACCACAGTGAAGACTTGTCTAGCCCAAAATATCAGTGGTGCTGAGTTTGAGAAACCCCACATTAGCTATTTCAGTATACTCCATCCATAATGGGAAGGGGCCCAAAATACAATACTTGCTGCAAAATAATTGAAAGTATCAGGTGGCTTTGAGTATGTGTCAGTTTTTGCTTCACCTCAAGTGTCTGAAAAAAGATAACAAATGTATGGCATTTGATCGGGAA